TATTTGGTTGTAAGAAATATACTTTGTACTTACGCGTTGAAACCAATCTTTCAAAAATTTTTTCATAAATACAGATGAATTAATTATGATTACCTTGACGTTCAATTTAATAAAAAATAAAATCAAGAAAGTTAAAGATTAAAAATAATTTATATTTGAAAAATGAAGTGTGATATTTTAAAAAAATACAGATTTACAATTTTTATATTTATTTATTTTCATTATATTTTAAGGATAGATTATAAGCTTGGAATAATTTGGAATTGCTTCGCAGGTGTATTAGGGGAGAAAAGTCACTGACCTACGGCGCGTTCGCGCGAATCCTGCAATCGCTCGGTTAAAGATGGCTGCCTGAAACTGCCGCTCCTCGTGAAGGTTGAAGTTTTCGAATCGAACGTCATCGTGACACCGCATTCCTTGTCCCTTCGTTGCTTTCTTTCCAGACACGCAGCAAAAGCACATCCCACTGCATGACTCAAACGTTCTCCCTAAATGAACACGATGAATATTAAACGTTAAAATTATACGAAGATACAAAGAATGAACGCGATTAAAGAAATACATTGTTCCATATTAATCTAATTTTTTTTCTTTACAAAGGAGAAAAGTTAATTTGAAAATTATGGATTATATATAATTCTATTCTAAAAAAAATTATTAAAAAATGTATAAGCACGGATTGTACTATATATAATGTATCATCATCATAATTTATCGAAACATTAATTGTAAAAAAAAAAAAAATGTTCAATAATTCAAGTCATCAAAGATTTTACATCAACAACACGAACCGATTCTTTCAATGCCAAAAATCCATGGCACATCCACCGTCTGGTCGTGCCGTCTCTACAGATGTAACTGAACCCCTTCTCGTGATTTCGATCCGGAGCACAAAAGGAAACTTTCTCTATCGTCTGATCGACGATCAGCCCTTTTGTCTCATCTTCAACCACCCGCAAACCGTCTCCTGATACGTGCAGCACCGCGCGTACCGGCCGCCGCCTCGAGTTCTACAATTGGTTTTCATTTTGAAAAAAAGATCGGTTGTATCGATTTTTAAGTTCTTTTTCCAAAGATTTTCCTTTAGAAAGAAAATATCGACGTGATATATAAATGGGAGAAAATTTATAACAGTAAAATTTCAAAAGATTTTTTATTTCGCTTACCCTAAGTACTTTTAGAGCTTCCTCGCACACTTGCATACCCCTCGACTCGAACACCTCAACACATCCCAGGTACTGAAGCAATTGAAATTGATTGGATTAATCAATAAGCGCGAACAGGGTCGAGTTTGATTGATACTCGAGATTGATTTGACAAAAAAGAATAATAGAAGCTGTAGACTCCTAGTGAAATGTAGAATAAAATTATATATATATATATATTTATTAAATTACGTTGGATATAATACAAAAGTTTCAATTAGAAAAGAATATTTTCGAAGTATAAAGGTATAATCTATCGAAATAGAAGGAGCTATATATACGTATTTTAAGGTAAGGGGTAACCGTAATGATACGCTCGTTACTCTCGAATATCGATTATCTGGATATGTGCCAATTTTACGGCCGATAGCTGTTCGATTTTCGATTAAACACGAATTGTTCGTGTTCAAACGTATTTTCTTTCGAACGGTCAAATTTTTATTTTATCTTTAATTACGAATTTAACCGTTATATTTATTATACTTTTTATAATGATTCACGATATTAATCTCTTTTTTACTTTTAATTTTCACTTTAACGTGTAATAATAAAATTAGAATCGTACCTTGACATGGAAAGCGCATGTTGCCGAACGGACAGCCGTTTCGTCCGCCTGCCATTGATGCGGTTTACTCGATTCCGGTACGTGAGGATCTTTCCGCCGTCGAAAGCTATCGCGAAAACTTCGTCGAAGTCGGTCCATTCTTTTTCCCGGTGACCTCTCTCGCTTCTGCAAAAAAAAAAAAAAAAAAAAATATATCAAAGATATTTGTCGATACAACATTTTTATTAATCAATCGTTTAAAATTATAACTCTTCTTTTTTTCCTTGTTAAAATTATTCCAATGTGAATGTGGAATCATTTTATATAAGATCATTTATTCAATTTTAATACAATTTTAATATCAAATAATTGAAAATAATTGAGGTCAATGGTGCATCGATATTTTCTCGACGTCTCTTCCACCTTGCTCGTCGACATTTGAAAAGAGAAAAATGGACGCACCGATAACAATCTCTGCGACGCGAGCAAAGAATAAAAGAGAAACACGAAAGCACGCGAAAGCCTGGAAACATGATACAAGTATAGAGAGAAGCGCGAGGTGAGGAAAGATTGCGAAAAAGTTTCCAAGACCATGTGTATGTGCGCACAACATTTTCTATCTAACGATCGTGTGCAGACAAGTACTGTTCAATTGATATTTTTCCTATTATTCCTTTTCATAAAGAATCGTTTTTATTAGAATTTTATTAGATTGACGAATGATTTCGTTTAAAATTCGCTAAAAAGATCGTAGAATAATTTGCATTTAAAAATTTATCGATCCTCGCGAATTCTGTTTATTAATTTGAAAACAAGTGTGAAAACAGAATCACGTGGAAATCAGTTGGGTCAAATACACGATGCTCGTTTGAGAAAACGGTTTTGCATTCATCGACCAGTATATACGCGTTTCCCACGTGTTCGCACGTTTTTCGTGTGGCCCGATTCCTCGTTTTCTCGCACAAGTAAACACGTCTATTCACGTCGCTGAATGCCAGCGGCGGCAACGTCAAACGATTCTCGATTAACGAGCCGTGTTAAACGGTAGCGGAAAATTGGATAATCCGCAGCCGATTCGAACGAAACTGTAATGTAAATTGTAATGTAAATCGACGAATGTTAAGACAGTTAAGTCAAATTTTGCAATCTTCTTTCTTCCTAGTTATTATCTGTTTTCAATTTGCAAACTTCCCATGCCAGTAGAAAATAAGAAAAATTTGAAAAATCAACACGATAGAAGCATACATATATTAGGGGCATTATTTTTGAATTAAATAACGAGAAGATCATTTTAATGCTTCTACAATAATTGTTGTTAAAATTGATTAATTAAGAATGGAGACTTCGATTCATAAATTGGAACAAGTAAATTATTATAGATATAATATATATTAGAAATGTATCTTTCACTGTTAAAGAAAGTATAATAAAGTATCCAATTTCGTATAATGTAATATACTATATTACTCGTCGTTGCCTCTGCTAACGATCACTTCACGTGTGTACAACTTAGTTCGACTTTAGAATTTTAAACGACCTTAAACTTATAATGTGCCACTCGATCGATATACAATGTTTTTATGAGTATTTTTGTTTCCTTCTCGTTCATCCTCAGCTCAAACATGCTACCGGTCACGCCACATTTCACGCATCACATTGTCAACGAAAAGGAATACATTTCGCATAACATATTCCCGAAACTCGAATTCCCGCAGCGAACTTGTATCATCTGAATTATGTTCGAATCGCGTAAATCTCGAATGTAAGCACTCTGACATGACCTCTCCAGACATGTGGCATTTTCTGGAGATCCGCGAACATTCCCAGAGGACGGGGGCCCGTTCCGTTTCGAAGTTTCCCCGATGAGTCGTTAACAGTCGGCCTTGAGAAAATAGAGAAGGCAACCAGTGTCTGGCAACGAGTCGAAGGTCTTACAATGGCCTGTGATCGAATCTTGGCCTCGGTTCCCAACGAATCTTTTATATCTCAACCCTCCACGACCTCTCCCCTAGCACGAATCTACCCTCCTAAATCGACATGCCTAAGAACCGGCCAACGGATCAAGGATCGAGGTAGGTTGAGAAAGTTCTCCCTCTCCCTATCCCCCCCCCCATTTTCGAATTTAATTGAGATTTAATTTTTTTTTTTGAAGTAATTTATGATGTCTTAGAAGATGAAATTTTTGTCGTTACAAGGGTCAAGCATTTGTAATGGTACACTAACAGTATTGTTGCAAATATAGAACTTGTATAAACTTTATTAGTGATTTGAAGTTTGTTAATGAATTCTTCGATGAATTTTAATAGTATATTTATTTTTGTTAAACGGAGTCGAGTGGAATTTTCGAGCAATAATGGATGGAATAATAACATTTTAGCGCAATCAATATGGAAAAGTATCTATTCTACAAGTTTATTATTTCGAGATATATTTTTCCATCAATTCGAGAAACTTTTGATAATAAGCAGGATCTTATCGATAAATCAATAACTTTGAGAGGAAAAGTATGTTGCATATATATATATATATATAAAGTATACTTATCCAACTTTATTATTTCATCAAACTTAATTTCCAATTTTCGGGTAAAAGCATTTTAATGGAACTCTTGATATTTCTATATAAATTTATTACACTTTTAACACAATATATATGCTTTCAGCAACGAAACAGTATTCCATTATTTTTTTTTTACCGATAGTTACATTATTTATTATTAGATTTTTTTCAATTTTCACAAACTTTCTTCTTTCAATAATATTCAGCAATAAAAATATACTTTTTTGCGCCATCTTGCTTCATAGATATTTCAAAAAGTTACGGGATATCCATTTAAGTAAGTACTTACATGGAGCGTTTACATTTATCATCGATAATCCAGAAGCGATATTAGTTCATTAGTTGTGAACAGATAAAATCACCGTGTTAACCGTGTTATCTCATCTCAAAAATATGAAAACACATTAATTCACGCATATACGATCCTCGTAATATCGAATATCGCGGCATCGAGATCATCAGAGCGCCACCCCATCACGGCATCGTAAAATATATCCCGTGTGCTCGAGTGCGAACATGACATGGGGTGCGGGGTGTATATTCCCAAGGGAACGATTTCCTTTTTTAATCCCAGCTTTTCGTCGTGTCGCCAGTTTATCTGACCCAGTGAACGAGGAAAATATTAGTCCGATACGAAATTACTCCTCTTGGATGGATTGATTTTTGAAAAAATTATTTCATTTCAAAAAAAAAAAAATCATTATACATTAAACCTAGGTTTGTTAATTTTATAATTATTAATATACTTTATTTTTCACGTTATTAAATTATGCGTAACTGTAATAACAACTATTGTCATTGTACAAAACATTTTGCTTTTTGGATACAAAACAGATGTTCTTCTCTGCACATACAAGAGTTTTATTGATCAAAGTATATTGTACATACGCGTTACATTAGCCAAGAAATTCTTGCCAAGAGGTTATAAAGGTTTTAAATCTCGCGCATACGGAATTCCCAAGAATTTTAATAAAAAGTTTTCTATATTTTTTTGTAGAAAAAATTAAAAATCTAGACAACAGATGATTTAATTTTTGGAATAAATTCAAATTTAAGATGTATAAACGTGCATTTATTATATAAAAGCTTCTTAAATTGAATCAACAAGTCTTCATTTGTCATCGCGATATCACGACATAACCTCAAAAATATAAAAATATTCATATGAATCGATTCGATCTTCGGATAACGAATCAGAGAAAATTATTGTAACGAAAACAACAATACGATATGTAGTCAACTAGTCGCCTATAATCCCCGTTGGAACAACATTTATCCGTGAGCAAACCGTTTCCAACCGTCCACCGCGCGATATTTGATCGCATCTCACGCGCGTGGTTCGCAGAAACGCGTTCCAAGACCAAGCAAATATTGTCACGTACGCGTAACGATCCTCGTTCCCGAGGATAAGTCCTCGTTCGTGGAACAACAATGAATTCTCGCAGCTGTAACCACTGTAACCCATCTCTCTCTCGTGAATCAGTTCGCTGCATCGACGATGATGAGAAAATAATCGAACCGCGCGCCAAACCCGAGGATGCTTTTTTTCCGCGAGCCGAGCCGGAGATAGCCGACCGCGCACGAGGACCGGCTAATAGTTAAAACGTGCGAAAGCAAGCACACTCGATGCAATCGGATTACCCGGCCTGTTTGCTTAGCCCGGTAATAGGCTTATGAGAGTGTTAGAACTGAAATGAGAGAAGTGGATCGTCGCGATGCGATTCGATTCATACACTATCGCGTCCACGTGTTGGTCCCCGTGCCGAAACAGATAATCGTTTCGAGGAGGATCGATAAGTGGTTGGTCCGTAAGTGGCTCGACGTTGAATCACGATAGACACGTGACCCGATGATATCTTTGTACGCGTTAGATTTTGGTTTCTTTTAATTATTGAGCAATATAATTATATTGCAAGTGAATATAATTTTTTGAACGTGAAAAGATCTATTTTTTAAATTTTACGAGCTCAAGTGAAATTTTTAATTTTGAAATTTCGTATGAATGGAAATGTGCAACTAGTTATCCCTAAAAAAAAATTTAGAGTTATAATTATTTTAAATTAGAAATAAAGTTGAAATAAAAAATAAAAGGATGCGCGTGTCTAAAAGTTATTTCGTCTAGAATGTAACTGTTCTGCGTCTGCAGTGATTAGATACAGTCAATTGAATTACTCTCGCCCACTGATTCACTGATGGAAACCTATCAAGGATGTTATTTGGTCATCAACGAACCCTAGGTTAAGTAATATGCGTGAAAGCAATCATGAACTCTCTCTACATCTAATCTACAGGGTGTTTCGTTCTAATCTATCCCAGTTTCTTTTATTTATAAAAAATATTACTAATTATTATATTTACTAATTTTTTTTTTACTAATTATTATATTATTATAATTCTCTTTATTGTTAATATAAATTGGTATAAGAAATTAAAAACGATAAATTATTATGGATTGGAAATGGAATATTAAAAAGGAAATGAAATAAAAAATGTATGATATAATAAGAAGGGTTAAGTGAATCATTGAACTGGATTGCCTGGTATACTTATTCGACTTCGTCTTCAGCGATACTTACTTACAACTTTCTTTTTTTTCGAACTTTACCCATGAGTCGGATAGTGAGTAATGTCTCAGCCATCCGGAAGGTCTCAGCGTGTTATAAAAAAATTTCTCGTAAGACAAGAGCTTTAAGACGAAAATTGTGAGATTCTTCATTGTAACATCGCTAATTTTAAACGAATTATATATATTTTTTATAAAATAATTAACAAAATTCGATTTCTAAGAATCGTTATATTCGTTTCATAAAAATTAATCAAAATTGAATACTTATGTTTCATAAAATTAAGAAATTTTCATAGTCGTGACATGCAATAACCTGTAAGTCGAATTTTTTCTCTCTACTTGAAAGCAAAATTACATCTATTTCAAGATATGACGTAATAATGACGATAATAAGGACGAAATTTAAATAATCGTCTCTTCTTATTCATAAGATACAAAAAAAAAAAAATAGAGTCCTTCAACCTGTAATGGCTCGATACTTGAATAAAATTACGTCTAAAATGAATCCTTGAAGTCGCATTTTCTTTAAAATCATTCCTCGATTAAGATGCGTATCCATGTTTATCATGCAATTTGATTGCACGTTCTTACTTCTTAATGAAACTTCATTGTTATAACATTCTCACGAAAGAAATACAATTTCGAAAATGTCTTGTCTTTTTATTGTTAGAATAGAAAATACGCAATGAGAATAGCATTGAATTTAAAAAATTTAATATTCATATATTAAAATTCCAAACTGGAATCTTCAGTAATTTGAAGGTTCGTTTAAAAAAAATAATTTGCCAGTAAAAAATATAGGTAAAGATAGTTTTTTCTATATATAGTAAGTAAATAATTTAAAAACTGCAGATTTTTAATAATAATAATTTCAATTTGAATTTATGACAGACATGCATGTCTCGTGACTTTATGAAAGATAACATTGATAGATAATTAATTTATTGATCAATATTGACTAATAGTTTTTTTCTCCACAGAATGCTATGAAAAAAATTATAAGGAAACCCGTTACTTTGCATTTTTACTCTCTTATTATTCTAATGATATGACGTAACAACATTGAAAGAAATAGAAGTATTTATAATTAAATAATAGCATTGTGTGTGTATATTGATTTAAAAAATAAATGTTGAAAAATACAGATTAACTTGAATGCTTCTAAAGCAATTCAATTAGTGTAATTTATGTGTAATTTTAATGCTGTGATTTTTATATGATTTAATATGATATTATTTTATACGTATAGATACGATTAGTCATCTCAAATTAAATTATTACGATACACACAAGCATTATTCTATTCTTATTACACATCTGATGACTCATTATCAGTAGTTACTTGTTACCGTATACTCATCCCATCACTTTTTTTTTAATTTTATCAGAAATCTGTTTAGACATGAAATATAAATTATTTATTATTTCTTTTTCGTGAAAAGTAAATTAATTTGAAATTTATGCAACCTTTACATTTATTCATTTTTCTTTGTTTCAACGAATTAATTAGAATTTTAATAGTCTCTTAACAAAGGAAAAAAAAGAAAAATATGCTAAGCATCTTTTAAATAACCATTCTATTATGCACTATTTACATCAGTTTTCGTTTCATTGGAATTCAAAAGTAAATCAAAAAAAAAAATTTTTTTTGAAAATTACTTACTTTCGCAATATATTCTTATTTTTCTCATTTCCTTGCTGTCTCCGTTGATAAAGTAGATTTTTTACCACGAGAAAGAAAAACAAGCCAATCGATTATCGACACTTTTTCTTCTTTTACTAATATTTCATTTTTCAATTAAAAATAAAATGATTTGATAAAAAAATATACAACAAATTTAATTTTCACACATCCTCTCTCTATAAAAACCTTCACCTATAAAAAAACTAAAGAGAAATTCTCTTAAGAAGAAACAATTTTTAAACAATTTGCTTCAATGTTGTTTAAATGAAACATCCATCCTGTACATGCTTCTGCATATCTTTAATAATAATTGCAAAAATTGAAACTTCATTTAATCCAGTAATCCAGCATTAAAACCAATCTACATTCCTCTTTTCAAAGCGGCTTCTTCTTGCATTAAGGAATAAACGAAAAATCGAGTTTAACCGCACTCGATTTCTCGTTCAACAACGTTCCCCGGCAAGTAACGAAGCTTCTTTCTAAGGGCGTTTTTTAATATCGGCCATTCGGGATGGGAGTGCCGTGAAATCCATGGCTCGCTAACAGCAGGAAATTGCGGCGTTAGATCGATCTGCCTACGTTTTGACATGCACAACCCGTCAGCATGCACACATAATAACCACAGATGCATTCTCCAGCGCCATATTTCCTTTCACGCCTCAAGGTCGGATCTAGCGTTTACCATGTATACCAAGTTGGTAAGTAAAATATCGTAAATAGAAGAGAGAAAAGATAGGCACCATGACCTCGTGTATAATTATTGGCAAACTGATGAATCCTTTAACGGGATCTCTATCGGCGTGTTTTGCAACGAGCTCTTTCTGTGAACGCCATTGTTAAATGTTAGATATTGTTTTAAGGGGCTCGGGATATTTCTCGTTCTCATGTCAGTGTAAAAAATTCTAATTAAAAAAAAAAAAAAATCTGAAATATCACGATACCGTTTCGTGAAATTGAGACGATTCTGCTATAATTTGAATGAAATTTTGAAAAAAAAAAAAAAGGAAGTTTTTACAATCAATTTGAAGAGAGAAGAAAAATAAATTTACCGAAAAAAGGTAAAAAAAAACATGACTTTTCATAAAACTTTTCTCGTTAAATAATGCATATTTTATTATTCTTTTATAACAAGATAAATATAGAACGATTCGATTAAAGATTCAATTTCTATTTACTCAACTATATCCATATTTTATTATCTACCATAACACGAGAGAAAAAGGGACACGTTCCGTTCATTACACGTTAAATAAAATAGAGTGTATTATGGTAAGGAAGATCCCTAAAGTATCGTGCTATTTTCATTGAAAGTAGGGTTGGCAAAAGTGTTTGAAACGGCCTATAGCGGTGGCACGACCACGACGAGCACAGCTGTCCCTGACACTATAAGCGGAACACTCAGTTTTTACTACAGCTCAGTCCTGAAAAGAATCTGAATGGCCGGATTGGCAGTCCTCTTCTCCCGTGGCCTGGCATTTCTTACTTTAGGGCTACGTGCCAATCGAAGCCACGGATCTTCTGGCCCCTGACGAGGTGTCGTGACCTAGAAAGGCGACGGTGAAAGCCGGTATAATACACCACACATTCATGCAAGCCCTATCGGTTCGTCGACCCGAAACGCAAGACACTGGATTCTGCCAACGATCCTCGCGCCAACGAAACAAGGGATCGTCGAGCGTGTGCATGTGTTTTTTTTTTTTTTTGAACTATGCCTCGAGCACCATTACTGGTAAGGTGAAATCGATATTGTGAGTTGCGGTGACCGGAAGAATAGAATTGAAATTTTAGGGCTGAAAAAGTTTTGCTTATTTTTTTTTCCCCCCCTCTTTGTATAAGTGAACGATTAAATGATGATCATCTTTGTAAGGCAGAATATTTTTTTAACCTTTTTTTTTGACCTTTAAATTATTTTAAAAAAATTGGATGAAAATTATATGGCACAATTATGAAAGTTAAATATGGTATGGACAATGGTTTCATTTCCCAGACTTTCCAGCAAAATGCCGTTTTCCCATAACGTTAATTACACTAATTATGTTAACGTCGGGATAAGAATGTTTCCTTATAATCAACCATTGTTCATCTTCGCTTAAAGGATACATTCAATAGCGTAATTAGCACAATTATTTTCCAGTTTATGGACGTGACATTAAATATTATCTACTTTGTTCTTATGATTATACGTATGTGTATATATATATATATAAGCTGCTAGTGATGCGATTCAAAGTTTCGACTTAAATATCCAAATGTTTAGTATTTAAACGTTATCTTAAGTTTAAAAATTTTTTTTCTAAATTACTTCTAAATATCGAGATAATAAAATTTATATTAAAAAAAAAAAAAATAGGATATGACTTATTTTTCATATTAAAAAAATATGCAAACATTTTCAAAATGCGAAAGAAAATTACATGAAAAATTATCTTTTCTTACGATCATAAAAATGTGAATAGATAAATTTCTATTTTGAAGTAATCTTGACAACCAATTCTTTTTCCAAATTTCAAATAATAAAGTAACAAAACAATCAATTTCTCGCTTAAAATTATTATTATTTAAAACAATCGTTGCCATAAAAATTTGCCCAAGGTCAAATTTAGAGATCGTCGAAAGAAAGTCACGTTAGAATGTAACATGATCACCGATCGTTATACACCGAATCGTGTGGAGAAATGGGAAAGACATTGAGAGCCTGAAATGGCAACAAGTCTGGTAGTAACAACGAATATCTGCCAATGCCTCTACTACGAGTGGCTCGATCCTTTCACCGAGACAGGTGTTGCAAACGTAGGCAGAGACGCGTATAACGCGTTACACGATGAGCGGTGCTATTTGCACGAGAATAACGAGAATGCATCGTTGCGAATGCGATTCATCTATGGTACGCCTGCGGCGGAAACCTGCAACAGAGTTTATACCAGCGCGACAATAAATTTTACGAATGGTATATTCTGTCGAGCCGCGAACCGCAGTTAAAGAGGATTCGCTTTTTATTGTGAAGCTTGGATGGCCGTTACTCTACTTTTAATGGGCGTAGAAATACTTTCAAACAGTATTCTTCCTTTTATAGATGTTTGTCAAGTTGATGAGGATTTTTATTATTCGTAAATATTGCGTAAAGATAAGACAGATGTAAGAAATATTGACAAGTAAATTTACTTGTCCTTTTTGTATTTTTGTATTTTTATCATTTATCATCGAAGAAAAATAATCGTTCCTTTCCAAACAACGATCATCAGCCTCATCAAAATCGAAATAAAAATTATTTCGATTCGAATGTTAAGTTTGCAACACCTCTTATCGCAAAATTTTTGATCAGAGAAAACGGTGTCGTCCTCTACTTCAGGCTCTACTTCCAACACACCCTATAGAATTCCAGATCTCCTTCTATCTATACTCGCTATCAAGCATACGGACATCGACGCGCGGCACTAGTTATCCTTGAGTTCGATCCCCTCGCACGCTCGCGCACACTCAATGCTTCCATTCGTGTGCGTGGCCGATCCGATATATAAATTTATGCGTGTCACTCGCGTAATACGATTCGTACGTAATCACAGACGCCCCGGTGAATTCGCGGTTTGCGTAATCTCTGCTGTACAAGCCAGCTATCGGCTCTCTGCGTCGCTTCGAGGAACGCGTTCGAACGTTGGAGGAAATCGTTTCCGGCTCTTTAACGTCACGTCTCGCGAATAGCCACGATAATTGCACAGGAAAATCGCAACAGCGAATGCTGTTTTCTAGAGATTTCTTCTTTTTTTATCGAAGCAAAATAAGAGTTTAAAAATAAGAGTTCGAATTTTTATACGGAGATGTGATACATTTTGGAAGGTGGTCTATCGGAGTGTTTTAAGTCATAGAGTGAATGAATTGGAATTTGTAATTGATCAGAACGGCGGAAGGGAAATTCTGTTAGGAAATGGGATAAATAAATTTTGATACGAGGAAAAATGGAAAATTTGTGAAATGTGGGGTTGATCGAGTTTGGCGAATTATTTTTCTCTTTTTATCGTGAGAAGAATATAGTAGTTTTTATTTAAAGCATTATCTAGTGTGTATTGTTATGTAAAATTAAATTTCAATATAAGAGACTGTAGAATGAATTTTATGTACAACAGACGCATGTTATAGAGATATAAATTCAAGAATAGAAGTTTAGAGTTCAGTTATATAAAATTTCAAGAAATAGATTAGAATTTCAAATAGAACAGTCGCTATCTGGAGAATATCAAGAATGTTTTTAACTAGTGAAGTTTATATTTGTCTTTCAATGCTTGGTAAGATGAATCGAAAAAAAAATGTAAAATAAATTTTAAGGCAGACGTATCATTAATCTTTAATTCTTCTTGCTCCCTCTCTCTCTTTCAAGTATCTAATAAAACCATACAATGTCATAACGCGATTAAACTTGATCCACTTCTGTCTATATTAATAATAAAATACGTATTTGAAATGATATGTTGTTAATAAATTCAAGATGATCCTTCGAAATTTTTAAAAATTCAAATATACTGTAAAAATTAAAAACAATTACCCGTAATAATTTCTAATATTTAAATTATTCTGAAAATACAAATTTCACGTTGGCTAAATTCAGCGGTATAAAATCACGAAACAGGAGATATCGACAATGTGGGGGAAGTTTCTCCTGTCACGAAGAACCTGTTTGTATTCTTGTAAAACAAGATTCGCGAAACTTCAAACTTGTTCGAAAGTATCGCGCTACTTCCTTTGTAATATCCTTCGTAAAAAATAAAAATTATGGATTGTAAAAAATTTTTCATTAATTTTTCAATATATTTAATTAATTTTTTTAATAATTTTAAAAAAAGACGCGATGTTTGCGAGATGAAGAAAGAACGGTCCATATTTTTTCCTCGAATTACAAATTATTTACACAACGAAATAGAATAAAATGTTTTGTTTAATTAATTTTATCTCTGCGTATTTTTCTGTAAATATTTTTATAGGTCAATCTCCTATTAAAGAATATATATATATTTATTCACAATATGTAAATATATTAAATCGCGATCTATCATGATCATATTAAACTTTAACTTGGTTCGACTTGTTCCAGTTGAGGATGAACTTCATTACGATCGTCTTGCATCCGACTCAAGTTTTACGCTTGATAATTGATCGTAATGAACACAATGAAAGAAAGTGTGAACGGATCAATGTACTCAGAGTGTCGTGTGATTGATTGTAATTTACTCACGGCGTTGTATTATTCGTTTCAATCCCATT